AAATCATAATAGATGCAATGCTATCGAGTGGTATCTCATTTGACATGTGTTTGAAAAATATCTCTGGCAGATTCGCAAAAAACGGGTTTAAACGGGACCGGGATGGGTTTTCCCGTTAAGAAAAGGGTTCGGGATCGGGACGGGCTTCGTCCAGTTGGGGCGGTATCGGGATCGGGACGGGTTTAGTCCAGTTGGAACGGGATCGAGACCGGAACGGGTTTAGTCCAGTTGGAACGGGACCGGGATCGAGACGAAAAAACTTCATCCCGCCGGACCCTACTTCTAGGTTTATTGTAAATAAGAGCATGTCCAAATAACAGAAAAACAACTTAGAAAGACGACAGTGGCATGAACCTCGAAGTCTAGAGGATTTCGAACATACTGAATCTATTGACGATGCTAGTTTTCTTTGATTTTGGCGTCCATAATGCGATTCTGAAAAACTTGGGCTTTGAGTTGTCAAGTATTAGTGGATCTTTATTAAAAATTCAATGATAAATAAAATTCTCTTTGATTACGCTCATTGATAGAGCAAATTTTTCTTTATTTAAAAATGTAGCTTTACCCAAGGAAATGAGGACATTATCATCGCAAGAGATTTTAATGCAAAGTATAAAGCTAGCATTCTCAAAGAATTTAGTAGTACTTTCTTGTTGACTCATTCAACAACAAAAAAGTCTTCCAGCGATAGTATTCTCTTTCCTGACTCTTGGACACATCCATTTGTTCAACTATTCATCATACATTAATGGCAAAATTCGTTTGAGCTCAAAAACAGTCGCACCCCCATTACACTATGTTCCCGATTTTTCAAAATGTAATTGAACTGCGTTGCGCAAGGGACTGTTTGAAATTGGACATAAGTTTTATCGAGAAAAATATCCGCAGAATAGTTGGCATTTGTGGTTAAAACATATACAAAAGAATATTGACGATTGCGTGTCTATAAAAGAAGTGAATAATAAAAAGAAATTGAAAAAGACGACAGTATCAAAATCTCTTCGGACGCTCATGAAGAAGGGAAACGCTGCATTTAGTGAGTTAAAACGTAAACCAACCGGAAGAAACGCAAAACTTAAATTTAAATTTTTCCGAAAAAAGTCGTTAGTGACTTGCGCCGAATTAAGAAAAAGAAATTAGAATCCATTACGAGACAATTTAAAGATCCGCTTAAATTTTGGTCTGAAATAAAAAAGTATAGTAAGGAAGGTAATAATCTTCCAACTACAGTATCACACAAAAACTCAATAGCTAATGGTTTTCGATCGAAGTCCTCAACGGTAGATGCGCTTACATATCTCACGCAACATATGAGTTCGCTGCTGGACAATAACATTAAAGCAATAGGAGTTTCTTTTGACATGAAAAAAGCGTTTGATCGAGTAAATCATAAAATTCTTTTGAATAAGTTGAAAAACGCTGGAATTACAGGAAATTTATGGTTGTGGTTTGAATGTTATCTTTCAAATCGTACACAGCAAGTGAGAGTAAACAGCGTGTTGTCAGACCCAGTTATCGTCACTTCTGGCGTTCCCCAAGGGTCAAACCTGGGGCCTTTACTCTTTTTGTTATTTATCAATTTCTACATTCATCCACTGTCATCTCTCTCTTCGCAGACGACATTGTCATCGGCGTACCTGTTGAGAACGATGGAGAGTTGAGACAGACAAGCGAGGAAGTTGAGAAACAGAGGTTTGGTGTAAAACAAATTTAGTTGAGCTTAATAGTGGTAAGTGTGATTGGTTAATATTCGATAAATTGCCAATATTTCTATCACCAAACATTATTACTATTGGCGGTGAAGTACTAGGCAGAGTAACTGAAGTGAGTATATATTAATATATATATAATATATTAAGTGTTAGCAGTATATATTTCACATTCAATGAAATGGTCGTTTCACATAGAACAAACTGCTCTCGGATGCCGTAAAATGATGGGTGTTGTTAATCGTACGTTTCGCTATGCGCCATTTAAATTAAAACGTCATCTGTATACTACATTCAACGAGTGGCATCTCGAATAAAATGTGGCGATTTCACCTCATCATCATCTCGAGTTGGTTGAACTTCAAAAATTTACCTCGAAAAAGTGTATGTCGTTAGTAGCTTGAATACATGTGTTGTGCCCGCATCGAATAGGCCAAAATGTAGCCTTTTGAATTCTCTATCGAATGGCTATAATGCAAGTTTTCTGTCGTTATTTTCGTGTTTTCAGTAATGCTTTTTGCAAAAGCCCTGTGACTATTTTTTCAGCTTTTTCAAGATACATTTTGAAGCTGTTTGTAAAATGAACAGTGCTCACTTAGAAATGAACCAATCAAGGTTATTCTTGTATCATTTTGAATTCGAGTGCGAAATGTCTAATGTCACGTTCTTGAAAATAATCGAAACGCTGAAACTGTCATTTTGTTCATTTTTGGCTGCTAATTATTAACTGAACATTTTTACCACATCGAACAGATGAGGAGGAAGTGAATCTTGCCACAACGGATAGCAGACATCTTAACGTGCCAGAACGATCTGAGATCTTTGCTCTGTCACTTTAGATATGGGTTTCAAAATTCAAAATCGTCATCGGAAAACACATTATTTTTTAAAAATTTGGAGCATTTCGATTTCTGTTCAGTTAAGATGGCATCTCTAGTCTCAGGATCATCTTCTATATACCATTTTGTAGAGAATTAAATGCTGAATATTTTGCAAAAAACAGTTGAATTTTTCATCAACAAAAAGTATATGAAATGTCATTGACAATTTATCATCAGTTATTATGAGACACCCTGTATAGATTGTTCAAGTAATCAAGTGCTTGAGTTGTGTACTTTGGCAGTAACAGTTTGTAGCGGCCTGATGACAGTGATACTTTTTCGCTCTTGTTTGATCGGTATGACTGTTACGGATTGGGCGTTTGAAATGTTGTCAATGGTAGAACTTCTTTTTCGTTCAATGAGAATCAAAGTAGATTTTATAGGTTTTACTGTAACGGAAATTGGACTATTAATCTTTTTTGGATTGGTGCTTTTAGCTTCTCGGTTGCCACTAATCTTTCTGTCACTAAGTATTTCTAATGATTTTGCTCGTGTACATTGTGGCATTGATGGCGCTGGAACTACCGTGTTTTCTCCGTCAGTTATAGTTCTTGATAATCTTTTGACGGTGACAATACTGTTCTTCTGTCTGCTGACATTTGCAGATATAGGCTGTTGTATAGGTTTGAGATGTGTAGTTTCATTTAGATTTGTTTTAAGATCATTTCTGGTCAACCACCCACGTTGAAGTTTAACTACGGTTAAAGCACTGGTGACTGTTTCTGAAACATGGACATTTATTGCCGATGGTGAAGCACAAGTATCTTTTGGATGTTTTTCTGCACCTATTTTGCGAGTTTCTTCGTCAATCGAAGAATCAATCGATTTTGCTGAATCAAAACGTGATACTTTAGTGACCGTAACTCGACGCTCCGGGATATCTGGAGCTATTGCATCATCTTTAAGAGCATTCGTTGCTTTTATAGAAGAGTTACCAGACGGCTTAACACTATTCTGTCGTTCATATTTACTCATTCTTTTCACACTAACACTACCTTTAGCTACTTCAAAGGCTCTTGATGATTCATTTAAGTCAATGCTTGCATTCAGATCTAGTGATAAGTATCCGCTGCTTGACCGTTGTTGACGAGAGTCATTATTGACAGAGTTTATGGTCTTTGACATAAACGAAATATCAGTCAAAGTATTGAATTCGTCAATATTTGTTGATGACATTGATGTATCCAGTGTTTCTTGTACTGTACCAATGTAATAGAATGTAAAGTCGTCGCCGTACCTCTTTCTTCTTCCAGCGGCAGCACTACAAAAGACTGTGAACGTAAGTGGACGACTAACCCCTAAGACTGAGCATGCACCAATTCCAATTCTATTTTTACTTTTTGGAGCTGAAATTGTTGACCGAAAATTAAAGCACAAACTTCATCAAAGTTACTAATCATTTCAATAAAAGGTCTAGTGGCTTTTCTGGATCTTCTGCAATACATTAACAGAATAGTGTGTATTTATATTTGAAGTGCCCCTGGTGATCGGAACTGGTGTATGCATAGTAATGATTAATTTTGTCACTTACGGGCACAAACAATAGAGACAACATGCTAGCAATGCTAACAGGCTTAGTCCGGATAAAATAATCAATGGTAAATACGGTTTAATCTTAACTGAAATGAGAAAAGAAAAGAATAGAGAGGTAAACTGTTTGGACAATACCTTTAAGGATAACTGCCCTTCCATCTTCCGATGTCTCTAGAGAACATCTTATTGTGAAGCCATTATTTTCACAATATAAGTAGATCTTTGTTAGTACTCAAAATAATTTGATTTTGAAACACAGAATTATTTAACAGCAGCTTTAAATCTTAAACGATTATTCATTTTACTTTATAAGTCGACGTTTCGACAGCTCATCTGTCATTATCAAAACATAAAAATTTTGATTAAAATTAAAATTTTTTGACAAACCAAATAGTAAACTAGGTTATCGGAGTCAGAGGTGTGCGGTCCGCCGGTTTCGGCCTGCAGGGTCACGTGACGACGGGCGGGCGAGGCAAGAATCTTAAAGATTTGCACGGGTTCAGGAGGGGTACGGCTAATGTCGACACATGGGAGATCCGGGGCGGGTACAGCAGTTTAATGAAATATACGGAGGGGGGGGGGGCGGGGGGGGAGCGGGGAACGATGTGAACGGGGCGCGCGGAGTATAAAATTTTTCTTTGAGACCGTTTCGGACTCGTGAAAAACTATTAAGAGATTTGATTCTCTTATGCATCTAGGAAGCAACGCATATTGATGGCTAGTCCCTTATTTTTGACCTATAGAAAACGATTTGACTCATGATTTATTTATTCCATATCTTTTTTCATACTGAACGTTGATCAATACGTGAGAAAGTGATTACAGGTCATTTGGTTCTTAGAATCAATATTTGACATAGTCCCTATTGTCTATCTATATATCCCTAACTTAGTATCTACACATACATACGTTTAATATTCATGGAAACAAATAAAGGTAAACCAGTTTTTATGCACAATGGTTATACGTATATTATTAGCAAAAGATATGGACAAAAAACAATATGGATATGTCGTCGTAATCGTCATAGTCAATGTCGTGGACGTTTACATACAATCAATAATACAGTTGTCAATGAAATTGGAGAACATAATCATGAGCCAAGTTCGGTTGATAGCGGAGTACTACAAGCAACAGCAGCAATGCGACATGCCGCGTCAACCACTGATAAAACAACACATAACATCGTAGCAAGCGGTGTAGCTCAGTCATCAACACAAGCTATCAGTTCACTACTAGATTTACGTAATTTAAAGCGTACAGTTCGTCGTACCCGTCAACGTCAACAAAATCCATTGGCTATTCCGACAACTCGTGACACAATAATAATCGATCCCGAACATACAAAAACAATGCGCCAACATACATTTCTTCAATTTGATTCTAGTCCAATCAATAAACGTCTACTTATATTTTCAACCAAAAAACAATTACGAATTTTAGAAAGCTCTGAATCAGAATATGTCGATGGGACATTTAGTGTAGTACCAGAAATTTATTTTCAATTATATACGATCAATGCGACGTATTTAGAACATATTGTTCCTGTTGTATATATTTTGTTACAAGGTAGGATGTTTATCTGTTCTAATACTTTACAAATCGTTATTAGTGGAAGAGAGTATTATTAGTGCTAGTGGGCTAACATATCAAAGAGAAGTCAAAAAATTTCTTCAGACGCAGACGTATCCGTGCTTCCTATTCCTGCACTATATTTTCTGGATTTATGTAGAATTTTCATCTTGTCTGATTTCTTTTTGCCTGCTTAGGAAAAACACAACGTCTTTATAAACAAATGATAGATGAAATTGTCCAATTAAGCCCAAAATTTTCACCACAAAATATAATGATGGATTATGAACGGGCTGCTATTAATGTCTTCAGCAAAAAATTTCCAACTGCACATATATCTGGATGTTTCTTTCAAAATATTTATCGTCGTGTCCAACATGCAGGTCTTACAAAGTTATATGCGGATGATCCAGATTTTTCACAAAATATTCGATCGATAGCTCCATTATCATTTTTACCAACCACTGATATTATTTCAACATTCCAACAATTGAAACAACAATTTCCAGCACAAGGGCAACCAGTTATTAATTATTTCGAAGAAACATATGTCGGTATAGAAAGTCGTTTATTTCGTCTACGTAAACAACCAAAATTTGAATTAGATTTATGGAATACACATGAAAATACAATTCAGTATCAGCAATAGCCCAAAATATTACCTTAAAATCATAAATAATTATATTATTGTTCATAACACTCACATCTTTTCAAAATAATTAACATAGATAGATGTGTTTCAATGATTTGAATCTTCCTTTTGTAAAGTTTTTTTTCAAAGTATAGATAGACTTGTTGGAATGGTCAATGGATTTCGTTGACGTTGACGAGTACGGCGAACTGTACGCTTTAATGTCGCATTGCTGCTGTTGCTTGTAGTACTCCGCTATCAACCGAACTTGGCTCATGATTATGTTCTCCAATTTCATTGACAACTGTATTATTGATTGTATGTAAACGTCCACGACATTGACTATGACGATTACGACGACATATCCATATTGTTTTTTGTCCATATCTTTTGCTAATAATATACGTATAACCATTGTGCATAAAAACTGGTTTACCTTTATTTGTTTCCATGAATATTAAACGTATGTATGTGTAGATACTAAGTTAGGGATATATAGATAGGCAAAGAAAGCTGTTTATTAAGCTTAATAAGATTTAACGTTTAAGATTAATGTGAGAAGTACAATACAGAAATGGAAAAACTGTTCTGAGTGTTCGATAAAAGATGTAAGAAAAGAAACAGCAGTTCTATATATTTTGCTTCTGAATGCACTTTCGTTTTTGGCTCATCACTAATTATTTAACATGCATTATTCTTTCAAGCATCTGCCTACATGTAATTGAAAAACATTTGGAATTCTCAAAATTATCACTCTCGTGGAGCATCTGCCCTAAGGAGCAAGTGTGCTAGCAGAGCAGGTGTCCGAGAAGCATCCGTCCTAGTGGAGTATGTGTCCGGGGAGCAACTGTCTGGGAAGCATGCGGCCGAATACCGTGTTTTTTGTAACTAGCTTGAGTTCCTTAATGATCTGTCGTTTCTATCTTGAATAAAGTTTATCCCAACTATTATTTATTTGACAAAATAGTATTTCTTGCTATCAGAAAATCAAAAAATACGAAACGCCGTCTTGATTTTGGGTAAATTTTACATGCTTTATTCTACTGAACGCAACATTTGTCGATGAAGAAAACCATGTTTTTTAAACAAAGAAATCTAAGTCACTGATTAGTGCTAGAAACCGATTTTTAAATGTGCGAATAAACAACAGCAACAAAGAAATCTAAGTATTATCTTTCTTTTACGCTCCCAGGTAGAGTTGTCTCTATCAGATACTGTAAGATACTATAACAAGAAAATTTTCTTTTCAAATTCTGAACAGGTCAACAGACGTGTTTTACACACCATAGCTAGTGGGCCCTGGCACTCTCTCGAATGCGAGCGTGAGAGACAGGGGCCACTGAAAAATGAACTAAAAAGATTTCAGCATGGTCCGACGTCCGATCGGATCTTTCAGAAACTTGTCTTCGGAACCATCGGCTTAGATCCAGTTGAACCTGCAGCCAGCTCGAGAAAGTTCTTCTACATGAAATACTCGCCTTAATAATCCCTCTCAGTTGAAATGACTGCCGGAAAAGACGATTGACTTTCTGGAGAGACATGTTAGACTTAATTTCAGAAAAGATTTATTATGGAGTTCAGAAAGAGTGTGTACCATTATGATCTGTACTTAATTCTTTTTAGAGTAAATGAGAGAAAGATAACAATGTTCTTATTTCTGATATATGACACAGCGACCAAAGAATATTTCATAAATAGAGGATATCTGAATGAGAAATGGCTGTTTTTACATTTTTTACTCTGGTTCTAATATTCAGCAGTTTATGACCTTTATTCTACACTAAAGTTGGAAACGATAAGAATTAGTAACTTACAAGGTGCCGATATTATTGTTGTCGAAGTCCTACAAGAAAGGGTATTATTAAAAGAAACAGCTGTACGCTGAATAATACTTAAAAATAATTGTACCCTGTACTAGAAGTCGAAGAAGTACTCGTCGAAGTAGTCGCAGTTCTAAATTAACAAAAACTTAGATTTATTTCGCGTATTTAGCATGCAATCTCTCAATGTGCATTTTGCGCTGTTTTCGAGATCGTCCGTGAAGGTACATAAACCGCCTCTCTGAAAATTGCCGATAGTCTACTTTATCCGAATTGTTTGAAAATTGTTAAGATCAAGTAAAACTGAAGACTTTCTTTCTTCAGTCAATGTGAGTTAGACAGACTAACGCGCTAGTTGCACTTGTTGATGTTGTTGACCTAAAAGAAAGAAAAATGCAGAACAGTGATCACAAGTAACTACTGTTTCATCTTTACGCTGTGGTAGTAGTTGTTATGGTGGTTGTAGCCGTAGTTGAGGATCTAAAAGCACAAAATTAACAGAATGCTTATTACTTTGATTGTTTTCTTGCTTCAGATATAAACTTGATATAGTCGATTTCATTCAAAACCTTTTTTTGATATATTTTGACTTTGATGGTTCCAAATGTGTAAGACTGGATGATAAAACGGTGAAAGAATCTCTCCTTAGAGACAAATACATTTTAACTCACGTAGAGACAGATGTTAAAATGAAAAGAACAGATCATAGGAAAAGGAAGATGTTGAATTGACGGGCAGTAACTCAGACGAACGAAAAAATCAATCCAATAACAGCTGAATGTATTGAAGTCATTTTGTATCATCAATAATTCGACCTTTTATTCAGCCAGTTTCAGGTATGCGAGAAAAAGTTGTAATTACCACTACAGTAGGAGACAAGAAGTATGAAGTCACCTATAACTCAAAAGCCATGTCCTAGTGGACGTTCTTGTAATCAAGATCTTGACTTCTTGAATTTTTTCAGTAAGATCCTGATTCAAGATCTTGGTAAGAAAATGTAAGAATTCAAGAAATTTCAAAAAGTCAATATCTTGAACATCTTGTAATTTCTTGACTTCTCGTACCAAGATCTTGGAAATTCTTGAATCATCGTTTTGTTTCACACTCTTGTATAAATATAAGTGCGAATATTTTCACACTTAGAATAACTTCGACTTTTTCCTTCTTGATCATAGTTGCTTAAGGAAGAATCTGTGATTCTATATGGTCGTATATTTGATGGCTATAGCTGTCATAAATGCAAAAAAATGTACAGAACTTAAGATCTGGCAACATCTTTAGTAGATTCACTCAAGATCTTAAACTTTCTGATCCCAAGTTCTTGAGTGAAAGATTCAACAATCCAAGACCTTGACTTCTTGGTGTTTTTTCCAAGAACTTGTGACATTTCTTAACCCAAGATCTTAGGTACAAGGAGGTTCACTACGGCGATGGCTAACAACTTCAATTTTTAAACGTTGGTGTCTCTCACTAAATGTGGGACATCCAGCAAGTTAGTCCCGTTGCCTGAATGGCTCGTGGGATATAAGTATTTCATTTCTTTTTCGTAAAAATGCTAATAAATACTGATTCCAGAAAGATGGAAAATTTACCCTTTTCCTATCCTCTATCTACGGTATGGATTTAAAGTGATGGCTCTTAAAAAGTAACTGAAATCTATTTTATGGTCAAAGAGCACTTTAAAAAATAAATGCACTCCTACGTGGTTTTGAGAGGATACGCATATATTGTCTTATCATCAGTTGATGATATAAAAAATAGTAACTTAACTATGCTACATATATGGTATGTGTCCGATGCACAGTGGATCACGTGGACATTAGGCGGAAAAACGAAAGTGAACTTTTTCAAGATTGGCAACAGCAGGTGATACACTTCAACTTATGCTCTATTTAATTGACACAGGAAGTTTTGCTCTAAGTGACGTAGTTAGTGAGAAAATCGAGACGGGAATTTTGTCGTAAAAAACGTTTTAGCAAAATAGAATGGAATATTTATAAAAATCATACACCGTTTGAAACTAACCATTTCATTCTACCTGTTGGAAAAACAATTTTTCTTTGGGCGCTTCGGAGCCCAAAAAAATAATTCTTCTCTAGGCTAAAAGGTTCTCAAATAGCGATGCTCGGCTCAGTAAGTGCGCACAGCTTCAAATCGGACGAAACTTTCACAGAATCTTTTTCTACTAACGACATATCTATGCTGTTAGCGTAAATTAGCGTAACCATTTCTGGCCTGAGTTAGAGGTTTTCCTAAAACCTTGATTTTTGCGGTAAAATCCACTTTTCTCAGGCTAATAAATAATAACATATTCGGAATTAGCGTCAAAAACTGCATCGAATGATGTGTGTTTGAGGTATTTCCGAACAAAAGATGTTTCGATCCAGTATCATGCGACGGTTTCAGCGTAGTGACACAGCAATTTTGACTTGGCCGATGAACATGTACCAGCACAGACAAACTATGAAAGTTTGAAAAACATCCCTCTAGAAAGAGCACATACGAAAATCTGTAGAAAGAGTGCTTAGAGACTTTCGTACTACTTTTCAAGCGCATGTCCACGCGTCTAACTAAAACTGCTCGCTGTGCGACGCCAACTTATGCTTTTTTGGACAGAAAAGGAAAAACTACAATTACATGCATACTTTTTAATTATCGAAGAGAAAAAAGACGGATAAAAAGAGAGGGGTGTAATTTAATAAAAATCAGGCCATTTGATATGTCCGTTCGACGGCATCGGGTACGGGGTGATGGGGGTTCGGATAGTATGAAAGCTCTCCATAGAGGAGATTCTGACATCGTCTTTCTTTTTAAGGGGATCGTAGTATCCATTCTAAGATTTTTTCATTGCCTTTTGTATGTCATGAACTGATGGCGAGACGTTATATGAGTACTTTTTATGAAATGCACATTAGAATTCAAGAGAATAATTTGTTACTTACTGCTGATTTCTCTTCGACGAACTCACATATGTAGTTCAATTTTTCATTCTATATTTGCAACTCTAAAGACATCTTTCCCTCATAGTTTATTTAGTAAAAGTATGTGCTTCTTTACACTTTTTAGCAATCAAATGTAATGTGCTAATCGATTGTTTCACAAAACTTACGTGCTGCTGCTTGTAGTTGAGCTAAAAGATAGGAACAACACTTAGGTTTTTTTATATATCAAAATGTTGGTAAGCATTGATTTGAAGCCAGTATCACTTCGTCCTTAAGGAACTCTCTAACGCAGAGCGTCTTGTTTATTCTTCATCCATATAAGTATATTGAGTTGGACGTAATACTTTTCAGTCTATAGGAACTTACCTGCTGCTGGTTGTAGTCTGTGTTGTTGAGCTATAAAGGTACAAAAAAGTAAAGAGAGTAGTCCTACTATTATTTTTCCCTAAAACATTTCTTTACGTTGTATCGGTAGTTGTGGTTTGAGATGTAGTGGTTGAAGTACTCGTCGTGGATGTTGTAGCAGTGCTGAAAGTAGACATAGCTTTTTATGAATTTGATTTACCGTCAACTCCAACGCTTGTCTCTTCTGTTCATCAGACAGAACTCACGTCGTTGTCGTAACCGACACCGTTGTTGTTGTACTCGTTGTCGTAACTGAGACCGTTGTTGTTGTGCTTGTAGTCGTTGTTGGACAGGTAATTCCAGTCCCTGGGCAACCGCACTGGTGGTCTTCGGTAACATAAAAACTAAAGCAGTATTGATCGGATTGGTCGCTAAGTCTAAGATGACAAACAATATATATATATCTTATTTCACCGCAATAAGGTTTATATTTACGTATCAACAGCCATTGCGCACATAATTTGCGGCCCAGTCTGATCAGAGGTGGGTGTCCACGTTATATTTCTGTAATATACCGATGAATTGAATCGGACAAGGTTTCCTTTCCCCATACCAGGTAATGATAATGTCGATATTTCCGTAATATTAGTGCTAATTGGACAGTTATTTTGTGCAAGTATAATAGTTTTAAATGGTACTCCGACTTGCACAGGCGTACATGAGAATTCATCTGGAATACCATATATCACCGGATTGATGGCACACGTTGTTAGAGACACGACATGGACAAGAAATTGAACAGGAACGGAACTCATGGGCGAAGTGCTGGAGCTATTATAGAAATCTTCTACCTGCAATTGAAGACATTTAAACGTAAAAGTAGAACAAAATATAGGCTTCTTATCTAAAAGTTACATACTCCCTAAAAGCCGATGATTGAAATGGCGAAGGGTTTATAAAACTGAAACTAAACTCTAGGTTTTGTGCACTGATGAGGCCTAAAGCTATCTGTTTTCCCATCTTCTACTAAATCCATGTTTTAACATACAGATTTTTGGTTTAGTCGCCGTTCGACATTCTACTTTTCGACAGACAGCTTTCGACACTGTCGGATTTTTTGTTCGCAATTCGACAGTGTCGAAAGCCTGTCGAGTTTCGAGTAAAAATTTTGGACACTGTCGAATCTTGAGTGAAAAATTTCAAACGACTAGAAATTCGACAGATTTTTCCCTTCACTTCTCTACTAGAGAAGCAATAGCGCAAGCACGTAGAGCCGTAGACAATCCCTACGTCACCATTCCACAATGTCTCTAGGAAAAAACACATCAGTAGTCTTTAGGGCTTAGTGACTGAACAGTGAACGCGGTCTGGTGACTCACTCTCATGCCCTCCTTCCCCTGCGCTTCCACCTCATTACTCTTTTATGTCTTTTGAAATTTTTCAATGGAAATTCGACAGGCTTTCGACAGTGTCGAATTTCGAGCGAAAAATCTGTCGAATTTTTAGTCTGTCTCAAATTTTTCGCTCGAAACACACTGTCGAAAAGTATTTCTGTCAAACTGCGAAATTACCGATTTTTTCCTTACTCATTCGCTTATTAAGGTTTGACACTGGAGTCAGACAGTATGAGAAATGGTCTAATAGGAGTAAACATGAAAAATGGCTAACGGTCGACCAGCATGATTAAAGTAGAAGTTAATAGTAAGCAAAATTAATAACCATCAAATTGTACTTTCATTCTTACTTCGTTTCATCTATTTCAAAGTATTCCAGATCATTTTCGTGATTTGTACAACATTTGCCTCAGATAAATCTTACTGCGGCTCAAAAACAGAAGCGTCCATTGACACTGTTTTTTTTTCTTTTCTTTCTAATGGGTGTACCAGAAATAATATCGGTCTTGGTGTTTTTACTCTAACTCTCATTCCTCCGGGTCACCAGAGATTATTCCTGTATAACAGAACCGTCGTAAAATTCTCTACAAAACCATATCTAAACTTTAATTTCATAACTTCAATCAAGAAAACTACGCAGTTTATACGAAAGGCGACAAAAATAAAAACTTTGTAAACTTGGATACGATTTCTTGTCTTAACGTTTTGAAAGTAAGAAAAACTCTGTAGGTTGTCACGTATTTTTTCAGTAATTTTTCCATGAGTATAGGTGGTGCTTTCAGTAAAACTACTATAACTCCATCAAAACGAAAGACTTTCCAACCGATTTTGTTTTGCTTTGATCAGAAATGATTGGTCTTCTCCACCTGACTGCAAAATCAAAACTTCGATCATGTTTTCCGTTTCTTGCTTCAGCACACTGGGTTGTCAATTTCTGACGTAGTTTTGAAACTTCGTTCTCGAGCACAACATCTGCTCTACAATACTTTTTACAGACTACGAGAAAGAGCACATTTGAAAGTACCAAACAAAAACTGAGTTCTTGCTTCTGTCACACTTTTTACGGAAATAATAGCAGAAGAAAAAGTTCAAGTCGAAATGAATGCCAAATTTATTTATTAATCTAGAAAATGGACACAATGTAAAGGAACTTTTCAAAAATATATTCATGTTGCCCCAACTATTCCTTTATTATTTCTCTGTCATTCCTCTATTTCGCTGTTCCTCTGTTACCCAGTTATTCCTCTATTATAGAACATTTCTACATTCTAGTTTTGTCATATATAGTTTATATACATCGAGCTTGATTTTCTTTTCTAATTGTTTGTTTCTACTTCTTCAAAAACAATTAACCGCCATGTTTCTAAAGATTATTCACTTAAAAAGCTATGAATAACACAAGTACCGTTCATCATTCTGATTCACTTATCCCCTGACTGGAAAGGAATCGTCAGTAGCAAAAATACTCTTTTTACTAATGCTAAATGCAATGAAAGTCGAATACACCATTTTATATATATATATTATTATTTTTTCTATGCATATCATTTTCACCCGACGAAGTTGAGATGGAAGTTTCATAAGTACTTCTTTTATAGTTGATCCTGCTGTCATAGTATTAAGCCCTTTTAGGATACAAGACTTTTCTTAATATAAGGAAGAAACTAGAGTAGGCTGTAGTAATTATAACTAGGCACAAACTTTTTCTCAGTATTTTCCGAATGGTTAAGCCATTTTGATCGGAGAAGCATAGTGACTATGTTTACACAGGTAGATACAAATGACTTTCAGCTATGCACTGATGTACACATTGTCTGAAAATTCATTACCGTTAATTACTGCCATTCAGTTTTCAGTGCGTTACTCTTAAATAGTTATAATTACCCCATGAAAAAATAGCAGTGTGGTTATAATTCCCCTAGTTCGTGTATATCGAAAAACAAGACTTGCTTTTTGGTTCCACTAATTTCTCGTTAAGTAATTAAAAGTAAAGCTGATTGACTGGAAATGCATGAGGTTGGATAAAGCCCGAAATTCTCTATAAGTAATGACAATTAGTGCAATTCATTTTCAGACAATGTTTACATCAGTGCATAGCTGAAAGTCATATGTATCTCCCTTTGTAGTCACCATTTTTCTCCCACCAAAAATGGCTTAACCATTCGTAAAATACTCAGAAAAAGTTTGTACCTGGTTATAATTAGCCCAGCCTACTCTATAGTATCAAGTGTTTTCTCTTTATAAAAGTAAAGATTTAGACAAAACGAACTTAAAGATCCGAAAATTAGAGTAAAACAGAAGTCAACAGAAGTTCAATCTAGTGTGCAATCGACCGCACTTTTTAATCATAGTATCTTTGAATGTTTTAATGTTCTTCTACGAATACTTTTATTAAATTTTGTCCTTATTCGACTACATCTTTTATTTAGTATTCTGTTTAAAGAATAAAATGAGAAAGTAACAAATTTTATATTTCCATCAAATGTTCATCGTTTATATATTCAAGGAGGAGAGTGCTCACTAGGCGGTCTAGAAACACAAGTTTTTCCTTGCTCGACTCTCAGAGACTTCCTTTGCTTGTCTCGAAAACTTGCGTTTTCAAATGACCACATTTGTCAAAGACTAAACGGGATCCTTTTCTAAAAAATAGATCAGCATCATGTACAACTCGTGTACTTTAAACTAGTATAAAAGATGGAAATGGGTCTGCTCGAATTAGTGTA